AAAAATTATTAAACTGGGGTCTTACAGACAGGTTAATATTATATTTTAATTCTCATCAATTGTACAAAAGGGAATATAATTTTATTATAAATAATGCACTGTGTAGAAATCAGCATATTAAAAAGGCGTACGCAAAAATGCTCTCAACAAACTGGATTCAACACGCAAACGACAATTTGTTGGAGGTACTATAAATTATTGATGATTTAATAAGAAAAGTGTTTATTGCAAATAGATAATACCTTTTCTCTTATTAGCTGCTTGAACGGTTAGATGTTGTGGGAAGTAACATTGCTCAGGAAGTTCTTGTTTCAATATTTAGTGCGCGCTTAGATATAGTGCAAATTTTAAATTTTGATGGTACTTTAATTAAAAATATATTTGATCAAAGCAGCAAGTGTTGAAATTGATCTATATATATATATTTTTTTTCATAAATTTAGAATTATTTTGGGAAAATTTAACAACTGAAGGGAGCTTTCTCGTACGCGTCTTTTGCGAATATAACAAAGAGGTCTGTTACTATAATATTATTCTGTTTATCCTTCTTTGTTTTAATTATTATATTGATTTATTATAATATAGGATGAGAGCAAGCTCGGTGAAATACTGTCAGAGGTGACACGACTTGCTTTTTACATTCAAAAATACAATGACTTTATGAACCAAGTAACGGATGAGGATCAAGTAAATTTCGCATTTATTGTTGGTCAGTTGTTTTTGATGGCCAAATTATTAGACTATAGAGATGAAGTTGAGAGAAGGAAAATGTGTTCACTTCTACGTAAGTCTTTCTTCTTTTTTATTATTATTACTATTTTTTATAATATATTTTGTAATAGTCATCAATATAAATCTTATTTTTATCATTTAGGTGAAATTCTTATGTCATCCAATATCTTAGAGAGCCATATTGAAAGCATTATGGAAATAGAGAAAAAAATCTCTATTAACGAAAGAGATTTTACACGGTATGTATAATGATTTTTCTGTGCTATTAAAATCACTGACACAATCATTCTAAAATTTCAGTTCCAAGATTGAAATAATCACTGATATTCGCGAAGGCATTGAAGACGATGAGGCTCCTTCACGACTTACATACCAGGTATGGACATAATCAATATTATTGGTTACTTATTTATTGATATTGATTATTTACATGTTTAATTAGGATGATTGTGACTTATCGGCGAACATGTCACGTCTCAGTATAAACATATCTTCTATGAAGATGTCCGTTTTATCTACTGATCTAAAAAAACCCTGAGAGAAGAATTTCTAATGCTTCTATGATTGTGGATGATAGCAAAATCTTCCAAGAAGAGGATAATGAAATGAATACTATTTTGGCGAATTTGAGATGTTTGCATATAATACGTTGCATGCTTGAAAAGAATTCAGAGGTTTATAGAAATTCTTTTTTTTTTCTCTTATAATATGATTATCATACAAAATTATTTAGAGCCTACGTGATAACCCATCGATGTATGATCTTATGAACGAAATTATAATACCTAATATACAAAGTCATGAACCTGTACTGCGAGAGTTAGACATACATTGTTTAGGTTTATGTTGTATACTCGATCAGGTGGGTGTAACTTTTGTGTTGATTCCATAAATTTACGTTACTAATTAATGTATATTTTAACCTTTAGCGATAGAAAATTATAGTTTATTTATGCATTGTTTACGACATGGGCATTCAGAACTGCAAATTAAATCCTTAATGGTAATATAAAATAGCAAATTATTATTTTTGTAATAAAAGTTGAAGTTACTTATTGCAAATTTTATGTGGTTTTAAAGATTATGTCGGACATCCTCATGGCATATGGTTATTCAACAATTATTTCAAGTACTCGACAGGCAAGTCAGATACAATAAATGCTAATATTGTCCAATTTTTTATATTAAAATACTTTATAATTTTTTAGGGTAATGAAATTCTAGAATTATTACGAGAATGCTTTATGAATGAAAATGAACAAGTGCAAGCAACCGCAGTTGTGGGAATATCCAAATTAATGCTTTCTAAAATGTTGCGTGATAAACATGTAAGTGAATTTAATTATATATGTTATTATTATTATCGTTATCAAAATTTCGGCAGACAAATTTATCAATTTATTTATACAGGTCCTAAAAGAACTTGTGTTGTTATATTTTGATATTAATACTGCGTCGAATCTTCGTTTGAGACAATGTTTGAGTTATTTCTTTCCAGCATATTGCCATTCTTCCTTTGAGAATTAAGTATTAATGCAAGAGGTATATATACTGTCATATCTATTATGCCAATTATCAATCCATTATTAATAATATATAAATATATTCTATCCATATCCGCCGATTTGATTTTTAGGGGTCTTTTTTTCGATAAACTGTTACACGGACTATTGACAATAAGTTACGTG